GCAAGACAGACTGATTGCTGGTGTCTAGGAACATGTGTTCTAGTGGTGGAGACGGGTTCTTATTTGTTCCCTCGAAACTCCATAGCTGCTTCTCCTTCATTTTCTTTTCTTTTCCTTTTTTTTTTTCCTGGTACTACTAGTGTTTGAACTCAGGGCATTGCACTTGCTGTACAAGTGCTTTAACACTTGAACCACTCTCCTGACCCCATTTTGCTTTAGTTATTTTTGGGATAGGGATTTACTTTTGCCTGGGGCTGGCCTCAGACGTGATCTTCCTAGCTATGGCCTCCCTTGTAGCCAGAATAACAGGCATGTGCCACCATACCCAGCTTATTTGTCGAAACGGGTTCTCACTAACTTTCTGCCTGGGCTGGCCTCAAGCTGCATTCCTCCCAGTCTCTACCTCCCAAGTAGCTGGGATTACAGGTAAGCACAGGGGTGCCTGACCCCTAAAATGTTGCTTTATACAACGAAGTTTTCCAAGCAACTTAAATAAATAGTAATCCCCGACCACACTTGCCCCTACTATATCATTCTCTGTACCACTTGTTTCTCTTTATTTTTCTCTACAGTCTGTTATTCTCTGTGTATTTACTACTTGTCATGCTATATATTTACTAATTATCTGTGCTATGTCTCTGGACTCAAATAAAGTCCCTAGTAGAGTAGAACTTGGTTTTTCTTGGCTTCACATTCTAATTTCTAGCTCATATTTAGCTTTAATTTAATAATTTATGTCCCTATGTGATATGCCATGAAATTTAACAAATGATAGTAAAATTCATCTGGAAATAAAGAAGACAAATATTTCTGAAGGTGGACTTTTTTCATTAAAAATATTTTAAAAGCTGCATGGTGTATTTGAGAGATTTAAGTAGCTGATAGAGGCACAGTGCAAGATAAATCAAAAGTAACCTAAGAGAGAGGCCAGAAATTACTATTTAGTAGATGTTTAGGTCATTGTCAATGTGGAGAAAGCTAATTAGAATCTGTAAGTCAGATCACCTATGACAGCAATTTCCATATAGTTTAAAGAATTATAAAATTATAATAAAATGTGTAGACTCTTCTTTTGTAGGAAGGCAGTTTGGTCTTCTTTATATTAAATAAACAATCCTGATCAAATAAGTAATAGTGCCTGGATGTTAAAAATTAGTTCATATGATGAAAGGTAATGAAGTAAAGATTCTAAATAGAGTTTAAAATCTTAAAAGAGCTTATAAAAAGTCTGTTAAATTTTGCTGGGTGTGCACACTTGTAACTCAAGACCTTGGGAGGCCGAGGCAGACGGATCGGGTGTTCAAAGCCAACCTGGGCTACATAGTGAGACTCTGTTTCAGAACACCAAAAAAGAGAAAAGAAGAAAAAGTATGTTAAACTAATAATGCATACTGCACAATCACTATCTAGGTTCTTGGAAAATTACTTCAAGGTTTGAATTGCTTATAAATGACAGAAAATAAGAATAAAGTAATTATGTAAAAGGTACTCAGCCTTCTTAACAATGCAAGAAACACAAAATGAAGTAACCTTTAGGTATCATTAAATTCACAGAGTAATTACAATCTACAGGTACAGCACTCAGTTCCAGTAGAAAACATGCATCAGACTCAGAGGTGTGGGTAGGGCTGAAGGAACCAAGAACGGTTAGGAGAGCAGCCAGGCTTTGTACTAAATGGAGGCCTAAAGAAGCAAGGGGCAGGGCAGTGTCACTGGAGAGTCTAGGGAGTTTGAAAGAGGCTCTGGGATGAGGTGCATCCCAGAGCAAGTGGCCTTGGCAGGGAGAGGGAGATGTGGGTGGAGGAGAGTTACAGCAGTGCTGACATCTGTGTCTTTCCTCCACAACCTCCTGCCAGTGCTATGCACAGACTGAACCCAACCAGAGCCTGAAGGCCAAGAACCAGCTGTGACAATGGAGGGGCACGCTGTGCACCCCTAGGCAGTTCTGGCTTTATTTTAGAGGATCAACCCACCAAGCAGTATGAAACTGTCTCTACACCCTCATCTGGCGGTTCCTTCTTTGGTGAAATATACCAATAAAATCTGAGAGTAAAATCAGTAATCTTGCACAATTCTGTAAAGCAGCCAAGATGAATGAATAAATAAATAAGTGAATAAATAAATGAATAAATGGAAATCCCACAAAAGACAAGAAGCAAATAACTGAGAAGATGATTTGTAATTTTGGTAATGTGTACCTCAAGTCATTCCAAAACTAGATTAAAGCATGATGGTGCATTAAAACGATAGAATAAATATAGCCTGTTTAAAATAAATGTTTAGCTAATGACAGTACATAGAAATGTTTTATAGGAAATAATTTTATGTCATTAATATGTGCAAACAGATTGAAACCTAGAAATATATGTATTACATGTTAAAAGATCATTTAATGTGATGTAATTTTATTTGAGCCACTTCCAAACTATGTTGTAAAGAGGCAATAAAAAATAAGCAAAAGAAAAAGACAGGATAGAGAAATATTACACTGTTTATTAGATCCTGTTTTTCCTGAAAAGTTTTTAGAGGTTTTAATAAGAAAAGTGGCCTCCACATTTCTTGACTATCCATGATACTGCAGTGTAGGCTGTGAAGTCAATGTGTCTCTAACATAGAAAACTGTGTTGGGAAGAGGAATGGGTTTCACTGAGCTTTGTGAACACAGACTTTTCATTACCCAAGATGGAGTAAAGCCTTTATCTTGACATACTGACTGAAAGGAAATTTCTGGGTGGTGGTGTTTTATGCAAGCATCCAGGTGCTAACAATAATGCAGTGTGATGCTATGATAACTACAGAGAGCCCCACAAATGTGTAACATGTCAGCATGTAGAGGGAGACTGTTTAGGCTGGTTGTGTTGGGATTGGCCTGGTACCAGTTCAACATTAAGAGAGTTTTAGCCTCCAGATCAGAAATGTTCATTGTAACACCCAGTGCAGTGCTAGAAACATACTTGGAGAACTAACTGCTAATTCATGTTCATCTTGAGAAAATTAATTTCGGGATCACATTCAATTTAAATGCCAAGTACAGACATTCACAAATATCGCCTAACCCAAAGGTGACCTAAAGCAAAAATGAGAGTACTTAATTTTTCAGTTTCTAAATTAATTGATTCATTTGTTTCACAAACATTTTTAGTAGTTCCCTTTACTAGTTCTATTTTCTGCAGGTTCAATTATCCAAGGTTGACAGAAGTTTGAAAACATTAAATGTAAACTTCCAGAAATAAATAATTGATAAGTTCTAAATCACATACCTTCTAGGAAGCACAATGAAATCTTGCACCATTATGTGTCATCCCATACCTTCTGGTCCGGGATGTGAATCATTGCTTTGTCTGGTGTGTCCACGTTGTATTACTACCTACAAGTCAGTCGCTTAGCCCTCTTGATTATCAGACTAGCTGTATGTTAGTGTTTGTGTTCACATGATCCTTATTTTACCTGATCATGGCTGCAATGAACAAAAGTAGTGATTCTGGCATTCAGATATGCCACAGAGAAGCTGTAAATTTATTCCTTTAAGGTAAAAGATTAAAGTTCAATAAGATAGACATAGATGGATAGATACAGATGGATAGATGATAGATATAGGTAGGTAGACAGACAGATAGACGATAGAGAACAGAACATTCAACATTTTACCATAGTCTGTTTTATAAGTTTTATTTTTGTTTTTGCTTGTCTCTTACTGCTCCTAATTTATGAATTAAACTTTATCACAGGTACATATGTGTAAGTTCACACAGTGTACATAGGGTTTGATGTTGTCTGTGGTCTTGAACCCATCCCCCGAGGATGAGAGGGACTGCTGTATTGAACATCTTTTTGTGCCCTATGCTGTGTTATGTGCTAGAGAAATATCTAGAATTGATAACTTGACATAATACATTTTCTTTCATTATATGGTTCCCTCCAATAGCTATAATGGTAATTACACTAAAACTCTTTTAGATCTAGTAACCCCTTTCAGGTAAGTGCCATTCAATACACGAGGAAAACATGGACTTCCTAGATAGGAAGTGCTTGGTCCTTCCCCCTCCATCCAGCACTTGCTGACATTTGCACTAACCCCAAACACCTGGAGCACGTGGTCTGAGAAGGGAATTTTCCTCTTTTGTGAGTTTGTGTGAAAAGTTTTAAAGCAATAGTAAGTTAAATTGCATTCACTTACTCTTTTGATTAAGTGTCTTATGAAAAGACAACAATTACATAGAAATTTGGATTGTGTAAGAACATCTGGAACATATGGTGTCCCCCTTCTTCTTTTTATTTCCACATTCCCGTGTGCTTTTCATTTGTTTTTAATCATGTAGCCGAGCTTTTGCAATTTGTCTATGCTGACGCACTCTGAAGTTTATAGTTTAGCAACATGGCCAGATTATACCTCATTTAATAAAATGTGAAGATAAGAGCATGAAACAGGGCCATCCCTGGCTGTGTTACTGTGTCTTCTTGCTTCCCTTCTCAGTGAAGAACAGACACAGAGCACGTCCATGCCTCACAATAAGCTGTGGCTGTGGAAAAGGTTTAGATTTGTCCTATTGTGCCCTTCTGTTCTCCTCCCCACAGGGCTTCTGTGTTAGCCCTCTGCAGTTTCAGTTCAGGGAAATGTGTGCAGAGCTACACCACCATTACATCACCACTTTCTTATGATGACTGTTTCCACTTTGACTTCCTCACACTGACGGAGACAGTTTTCAGGCAAAACTACCATGGGAATCAGGAGAGAGATTGGTGTGCAAGAAAAGGGAGAAGAAATAAAATACAAGGATATGGGAGTCTGAAGGAATCTGGTCCCTGGCTGAAGTCACAGTCAAATTTGAAGGAGAGGCTTCTGCATAATGATGCAGTTTTAATGAATTTGGGGAAGAACTTTAAAAAGCACAAAAATTGTTATGTAGAACTACTTTGGGACACTTTTTAGGCGATTCTAGTATTTACTTATATTGCAAAGATGTGATAAAGCATGTTAAACCATTTCGCTTTCTCTTTAGGTTTGCAACACTACTACAGACAGGAAACACGCAGACATCTTCCTGGAGAAGTGTGTCACTGAGTCAGTCATGAACATTGTGAGCGGCTTCTTCAACTCACCCTTTTCAGACAACAGTACCAGTCTCCAGGTAGCTTGACCCACAGAAGGGTTCTAAGAGTTTGTCTTGTTTAAGCTGGGCACCAGTGGCTCATGCCTGTAACCCTAGCTACTTGGGAGGCTGAGATGGGGAGGATCATGGTTCTAGACCAGCCCAGGCAAAAAGTTCTGGAGACCTCATCTCAACAGAAAAAAAGCTGGCTGTGGTGGTATGCTCCTGTCATCCCAGCTGTGGTGGGAAGCTTAAAATAGGATTGTGGTCCAGGCTGTCCTGGGCAAAACTGAGACCCTGTCTCCAAATAACCAGAGCAAGATGGGCTAGAAATGTGTCTCAAGCTGTAGAGCACCTGTCTAATAAGCATGAAGCCCTGAGTTCTAACCTCAGTACCACCAAGAAAAGGAATGAAAAAGAATTTGCTTTGAGTAGAAAAGAACTTTAATCCAGTGAGAAAGTCGTTTCCCACACTTCAGATGAGTGACCTTCTCTCTCTAACCATCTCTAACTCTTCTCACTGTTATTCTCTTTTCTGAGTTTACCAAGTTTTATTTCAAAGAGACCTCACCTCACATTCAAATTGAGTTATTTTTCCTCACTCTCTACACAAAACAAAACCTTTCATGTCTGTATGTTGATTGCTTGCCAACTGTCGAAATAGCTGCATGATTCTTTAAATGGATGGGAATTCTAACCCAGTAGTTCCACTTTGGGGATTTATCTAAAAGCATCAGCAGAGGTGCATATATTGAGATTTTCATCCAGGTATTTATTTATAATACTTAGAAGTTGACATCAACTTTAAATGTCCACAAATGGGGCAGCTAAATAAATTATCGTACTTTTGTAGAGTGGCTTATTATATACCAATTAAAAATCATGTTTTACAACAAGGGGACTGGACTCTGATCATACGATAAAGCGAGCGCACACAAGGGAGGTATGAGGATAGGTAAGACACCCAAAAAACTAGATAGCATTTGTTGCCCTCAATGCAGAGAAACTAAAGCAGATACTTTAAAGCAACTGAGGCCAATAGGAGAAGGGGACCAGGAACTAGAGAAAAGGTTAGTTCGAGAAGAATTAATTTAGAAGGTAACACATGTACAGGAAAGCAATGCAAGTCAACTCCCTATATAGCTATCCTTGTCTCAACTAGCAGAAACCTTGTTCCTTCCTATTATTGCTTATATTCTCTCTTCAACAAAATCAGAGATGAGGGCAAAATAGTTTCTGCCTGGTAGCGAGGGGGGTAGGGGGAAAGGGAGAGGGTGGGGGAAAGGGGGTAAGAAATGACCCAAACATTGTATGCACATATGAATAAAAGAAAAAAATAAAAATCATCTTTTAAAAGGAAAGATTGATGACTGAGGACAGTGATTATTAAGTAATATTAACCACTGAATTGCATTATGTTATTATCCAGATTTGTGTAAAGATACATATGCTTCTATACAGAGAGAAATTTAGGAATTAAATATAGCTGATCCTCTGCATCCACTAGCTTTGCATCTGAAAATCCAACCAACCTTGGATCAAAAATATTCAATACAGAATTACATCCATACTGAACCAATCCCACATCAAAGGATTATTGATTTATTTCTGTGGTTCCCAACTCTTCCAGAGTGATTATAGATTAATTTTACAAAATATCACTTCAGTTATACCTCCTTCATGGAGTAGTTAAACTGATAGATAGGAACATGAAGTGGGTTTTGTAGTTCAAAATATCTGCCCTCTCTACTTGTGTATCATGTAAAACCAAACAAACAAACCAAAGCAGTAGCACCTGCTCTATTTGCAGTTGGTGGTAAATAAGGGATTATAAAAAGTAAGGTCATTGACTTCAGAAAATAGCATATTTTCTGATTAAGACTATAGCTAAAAGGCAAATAATTGATTTTCTGTAGTGACTGTCCTGTGCTGATGATGAAGGGAGCCCATCATAAATGTTCCCTGAGGAGGTATTTATGAACACTCTGAAATGTGAAGGTCTATTGTGTTTTGATGTCCCTTTCTGGTACTGTGCAGACCCACATTAGTCACGCTAGTGTTCTACATTGCTATTTGCCTGTTTCCTTTGTTTTTAGACACATCAGCCAGTTTTCATCCAGCTGCTGCAGTCTGCCTTCAGAATTTACAACTGCACCTGGCCGAACCCCGCACAGAAGGCCTCAGTGGAGTCTTGTATCAGAACCTTGGCAGAAGTGGGTAAGCACGTGGTGTCCTGCTTGACCTGGCCGTCTGTCTCTTGATGAGACTGGGCTCTGGGTAATGGGACTTTCCGTCTATAATGTAGTAAGAAAACAGGTGTTCTTGCAAACTTGGAGAGCAGTGATCAGCAAGCAGTTCTGAATACTGCAGAGTTATACAGAGAGAATGTATTCATGTTTCTAAACTTAAATGCAGTACTGTGCACACACATAGATGTGGCTCAGTGTGATTCTACAAACATGGTGTAGCTTATTGTTGTCTCACACTCATTGTGGGACCGTCTTGTTTATAAGTGGCCTGACCTATTAATACCTTTATGGCTGTAGGACTTTTTGAGTGCTCTATAGTGTTCCAGTTTTGTTTGAACTGTAGCAGTATTTATTGAGGGCCTTCAGAAATTGCAAATGAATGGGAGGTAATGGATTGTAAGGTAGAAGTGTTTCTCATAGTCCTGTGTGTATATGTGTGTAGGTTAATTGATGGTTAATGAATTGATGAGGGAGAATAAATACAGACTTGGCTAGACTAAACAGTAAAAAGAAAAATGAAGACAAGCGTGATCATCTCGTGGCTCTGGGAGTTGGGAAGAGTGGTTTATGGGGTATTTCAGTGTCATCGTCACGTCAGTGTTTATTGGGTACTCAGTATGTGCGAAGCTAAGCAATGCATTGTAGCATCAAATCCTTAGGTAGATTTTTTTGGTTATTTACATTTTATAGTTGAGAAAACAAAATTATCTAGGCTATGTAACTTGGCCAGGGTTATAGTATGTGTCCAGTAACTACTTGATGGAGGGATAAATGCTTTAACTAATTCATGACCATTTTATTATATTTTTAGTTTTTCCACCCATCCTGCAATATGACTTAAGAGATTTTGTACTGACAGCATTTAATGACAGCACTATTTAAATTAATGGATTCAAAAGCAGTTACAGTGCAGGAAGATGAATTGAAAATTACTCAAACTTATTGACTACTAATGTAATTCACCTAGGTAATCAATTATGAATAAGATTCCTTGATGGATTTTCTGTATACCAAAACAAAGAATAAAAGGGGGAAGGATATAAGTCATAATTATCAATGCAAATATTAATTACTTAAGAGTAAGCAAGGAATATTAGATAATAAAATTGAAATATGTTCAGTATATAAAATTTTAAAATAGAAAGGTGTACAATTTCTGGGTTGTGAAATTCAATTGATAAGAATACTGGCTCTCTTCAAATAAGCTAATAAATAGCTTTAGTGCTTCCACACCTGGAATCCTGCTTTGTACACACAGTCCCCCTGGGCCAGAACACCCCACAAGGATGCTGTTCTCTTTTCCTTGGCCTGTGGAGGCTTCCTTCTCGCCTCTTCTTGGTTCCAGCATGGAGGTCAGGCTGCTGCTCTGGGCACAGCTTCTTCATCCTGCTCAGCTCTGACTGTCCTGGGTCAGTCTTTTGCAAGAATATATGAGCCAGGCCATCCTCTGTGGGACGCCTTACCCACCCTCTCAAGTTCTGTTGTCTTCCCTGGGCAGCCCTCCTACACAGACTCCATCTTGGGCTGTGATGCTCTGGGTCATCACAGCTCATTTTTATACTTTTTCCTGATGCTGGCACTTTGCTCAACTCCTAGAGTTTTGAGAACTGAATAATTCAGGAAGAGAAGAGATGTGGGAAGAGGCCATAATACATATTATATCAAAAGGAAGGAAGGACACACAAGAGAACCTAATTTTTATTTACAAAGATGTAGCATTTAAAAAGATGCACCCAGAGCTATTTAAATAAAATACTAATATTGGTTATCTCTGAGTGGTGGAATAATAGGTGAGCCAGTTTCAGGCTTTTACATAATTTCTGAGTTTTTACTATTACATTACTTTTGAAGTTATAACAAAAAAAGCAGTACTTTTTTTCCATTTGGAATAAATGAGGGTTTGTTATATAAACCATTAAAAGATACAATCCAAAGAAAGAGCAAATAAATATGATGGTATTAAATTTTATATAGTATACATTGCCTTTGCTGCCAAGGTATATTTCCATATTTTACATTTTACAGCAGTTTCCCCTTCTTTCTCCTCCTTTTCGACTGGTTTCTTCTCCCTCAGTGCTCAGCAAATGCGATGGGGGATGGTGCCAGTAGCTCTACACTGAGCCTAAAGTGTGTATTGTTTATAGCACTTAAAAATTCAGAGATGATTTACTTGTCCTTTGACTGAGTGGATTATTTGGTGGCTTTTCATTTGTTTGTTTTTGCTATATTGGGGGTGGAACCCAGAGCCACATACATGGCTCTTTCACTTGAGCCATGCCTCCTGCCTTTTCATTTGTCTTTTTGGGTTTTGAGGTAAGGTCTCAGTAACTTTGCCAGGGCTGGCCAAACTCACTATCCTCCTAACTCTACCTCCCAAGTAGGAAGGGTTACAGATGTGTACCACCATGCCTAGCTAATTGTTTGAGTTTTTTAATATTCTGGATATTAACCCTTAGTCAGATGAACAGCTGGCAAAGATTTTTGACATGTTGTAGGCTGTCTCTTCACTCTGGCAATTATTTCCTTTGCTGTGCAGAAGCTTTTTAATTTGATTCAATCCTGTTTGTCAATTCTTGCTCATTCTTCCTGAGCTATTGGAGTCCCACTTATAAAGTTGTTGCCTAGGTCTATAACCCAAAGAGCTTTCCTTATGTTTTCCTGTAGTAGTTTCAGAGTTTTAGGACTTACATCAAGAACTTTGATCCATTTATATTGATTTTTGTACAAGATTAGACAGGGATCTAGTTTAGTCTTCTATATTGAGCTAACATTTCTCAAAAGACGATGTGCAAATGGCCAAGAAATATATGAAAAGAGTTTTAACATCCTTAGTCATAAAGGAATGCAAATTAAAACTATATGGTGAGTCCACCTCTCCCAGTCAGAATGGCAGTTATCAATGAAACAAACAACAAATACTGGTGAGGACAAGGAACCCTCATCACTGTTGGTGAGAAAGTAAATTAGTGCAGTCACTAAGGAAGTGAGTGTGAAGGCTCCTCAAAAACCCAGCAGCAGAACTACTGTGTGGTTCAGAAGTACCATTCCTTGGTGTATATCTGAAGGAAATGTCATAATGAAACTGTTATTTTCTGCAATTGAGAGACAAGAACTTTGAACCACCCATGAGATTCTGTGTTGTGACTGCCACCCAAATTCTGACGTGGATGTGTGCAATGTGTGGCTGAACCAGTTCTTGCATAGTAGGATAGCAGAGCTTTGGTTTAAAAAGGTCTCTGAAACTTTATTAGTCTAAATATATCTTCAATTTCTAAGTCATAAGATTTCATTTTCTGGGTTGGCAGAGTGGCTCAAGTGGTAGAGCACCTGCCTAGCAAGCATGAAGCCCTGAGTTCAAACCCCAGTGCTGCCAAAAAACCCTCATTTTCTATACTGGCCCAGGCCTTATGAATTATCAGTTCCTTTTTGTATGCATAAACACATGTGGTAAGTAGTCTAAAAAATAATTATATCTAGGTCTTCAATCCAGATGAGGTTGGAAGAGACATGTTCTTGATAGAAACTCTCAGTTCTGTCTTTCTTCCTTTTCCATGCCTATCCCTTCCATCTGCACCAGTGCTCTACAACAACTGTCCCCTCTCTGTACCTGCCTCTCCCTTCCTGTCCCTCTGTGGAGGATTTGTTTAGCCCCTCATTGCTGTTTTCTTGAAACACTGCAGAAAATCTGTTTCCTTCTCTCCTCACTTAAATAAACCTCCTACCAGAATAATCTTCCTGAAGTGACATTCTCTTATTGATTGCAAATCATCAACACAAAGGCCCCAACATTAAGTAGCACCCTTTGTGTAATACTCTGAATATCAGAATGGATTCTTCCTTGAAGCATCTGTGGTCTCCACTACTCAGTCAAGTTCTCTTCCTGTCCTCCTTGCTCACAGGTTCCCACACCTGCCCTGTGTGACAGCAGACCGAGCTACTGTGGCTCACACATTGTTTACACTTAATTCTTTCTATTCCGTTTCCAACATTGCTGCCTCTCAGCATCTTTTATGAGTCAAACTTACTTAATTTCCTCTGTAAAGGCCATGCTTGATTCTCACATCCATAAATGACCTCTCTCTTGTGTGGTGTGACCACTAGTACATTTCTCATAGTTTTCATCTTATCTCAGTGTGTGTCATCATAAATACAGAATTGTCTCCCTTATCAGCTGGTGAGGGACATTATGAAGTCACCGTCAAAACAAAAGTCAGAGAAAGCTGGTACCTGGGATAAAGGTGAAAGCCAGTGTGCTTTGAGATAATCAGACCTCCTGGTTTGGGGGTTTTGAGGAATTCTGTTCATGGGCAAACACAGACCCCAAATAAATGCATTTAGAAGTGACTATTCATGTTACAGGGGTCTGAACCACCTCATTCAAGTCATATTGAAAATATTTGAGCTGTTTAGACAAAGAAGAAACCTGAGGAGGAGCATAGTAGTTACCTTCAAACACTTGAGGGTGACAAGGGGCTTCTTTCACAGGTTCCCATAGACAGGGTGGCAGTGTCTGACAGCTGCAGGAGGCGGATTTCCGTCCTACTCCTAAAACAGCTATTTTACAGTTAGTGCTTTGACTCTTCCTTATGTTCTCCCCCATCGAGCACAACAATAAGTTCTGTTGTTCCCATTTCCAAAATCTGTCTTTTCTCTTCCTTCTGCAAGTCCCCCTCAGAACACCCACCTTCACTAGAGTGGATAATGGAATATCCTTGGTAAGCTCCCACTTCTGCTCCCTCCTGTTGTGGTCCATTCCCCACAGCATCCCTCACCTGCTCAGAATCTCCCTTGCACTTGACATTGCACTTGAAATCTGTGTCCTCCTGTGGCCTTCAAAGCCCCTCACCTCTCATTCAGTTCCCCCACCTTGCCTTCAGCTCTGCTCCACGCACACCAGCCTTCCTGCATCTCTCATCTAACTAGACTTCCTCTTCTTAGGGCTGTTGCATGTGCTGTTCTGCTGTGTGG